TTAAAAATAAAGAAACGACACCATATTAATACTATTTTTCATGTTTTATGTCATCTTTATAATTTTTTAAAATACAGAGGGGCCTTGACTTACGAGTTTAATTTGTTCTGAGACCAAGCTCATTAAGGAGCTCGTTAACTCAAATTACTCTATCAACTCAATGCAAAAAATCAGCCAAGAGCAGCTGGTATCTCAAAAAACTCGTTAGTTGGGACACTCGTAAGTCAAGGCCCCACTGTATGTTTTTATCGATTCAGAGAGGAAAGGAGAGGGAGAAAAACATCAATGATGAGAGAGAATCACTGACTGGTTGCCTCCTGCAGATCCCACACTGGGGAACAAGCCCGCAACCCAGACATATGCCCTGACTGGTTCATAGGCCGATGCTCAACCACAGAATCACACCTGCTGGGCTGATCTTTAAAACTTAATTGAAAGTCACTGTCCCTCTTCAGAAGCAGCTGACAAGTGCAACCTGGTAGGAGCACGCATTCCTGTGACTACACATGACAAAGAGAGGAAACAGAAGAAAGAGACCTAGTATACCTGCTAGGAACATTGGGATTGGAATTATTTCAGTCCTGGAGTCTCCTCATCACCCAGGACAGCCATTTTATTCGTTTATTTTCAACGTGGGGGAGGCCAGGAAGGCATTCTCTGCCTGAACACTATCGAGAAAGGAAAGTCAGTTTTGTGGCCAGGAAAGTGAGAGGGGGAGGAGTAACTGTCCTCCGCCCCACTCTCAAAGTTGTTTAACCTTCATTTGATGATTGAACTGTGCTTTCATTTTTGTTTTCTTATGCTGTTTGATTGCTATTGGGCCGTAAGATTTTATGCTTTAAAATAAATGATGAAGTGAATTTCCATTTTAATAGTAAAATATTAAACATCTAGCCGCGGGCCAGATCGAAGACAACTGAACAGAAGACATCTTCATTTCACTGCCACTGTCGTTGCACAGCTACACGATGGAAAGTTGAAAAAGCCGATGGGCTCTCCTACACGTGAATTCTGGATGTCAGTTTCCAGCCACACTGCGGCCCAGCAATGTGGCATGAGGGGCTACAGGATAAGGGTGGGAAACAGCCCCACATTGGTCATGTTTGCACACAGAGAATGAAGTAGGCCTTCCACGGAACAGTTCTAATTAAAAAGATACTGACTGTAGGAGAGACAAAGGGGCTTGTCCTCTGGCTGGTTAACTATTCAGATGATGGACAATCCTTCTTTCATAAAAACATACAAAGGAGGCATCCGGAACACTGTCTATGATACTGGGTCACATATTAGTCACCGCAGCTAATTGTAAATCTTTCTGTGAAACACTGAAAAGCCTCTTTGTGAATTAATTCAGTTCTGCTTGATGCACTTGATTTGAAATGACATTCCCCTGTATGTGGTGCATGTCGGCTTTGCTTTGAAAAATAACAAACTTAGCAGAATGTTTAATATATTTTCTTGGGGAGTAGGGTTTTTATCATAGGATTCATTAAGGATTTGCCTTACCCTGACATTTGTGATATAAAGGAAAATCAGGAAAAAAAAGTAATTTTCTTGATCAAGATATGTTTTTACTTAATGCAAATAAATGTAGTCTGTGGCTTGCAAGGAAAAATATGTCTTCTGATATCTGGTATAAACTGCTAAGTAGAATAATACGTGCCTCTTATGTTAAACCAGCATTTAAATGCTGAACTGCTTCTAAATCTGTTTGTTTCTTTTCATCTTTGCCATACACTAAGAACCTAAACAACTGTTGCCTTCATACTATATTTGTTAGAGCAGAATACAAATAAAATTTGTTTGAGAGGATAAGGTGGAATTATCTGTGGTTTGTGTAATTTGTTCCTCAGTCATGAGCAATTAACTCAAAATGAACATTAAATACTTTATTTTTGGTTGCAAATATGTATTTAATACTGCCCTGTTAAATGAACTTTAACTTACCAACATTCTTCCCTTTCTAATACTGGTTAATGGTTTGACCATGTTTTTCAACTATAAACTATAAGCAAATCCCATTGTGTAACTTTCCTCTCAACACTAGATAGCTAATCGCACTAGCCTTTGGGGTGCAAGGTATAAGTCATTAAGATAAAGCCAATGGTTCCATGAACGTCAGTACATCCTTCAGAACCCATCATTCATTATTATATTTTTAATTTATATTTTATTGTTGACCATATTACACATGTACCCTATTTCCCCCACTTTGCCCCCCTCTATCTAGCCCCTGCCTTCAACACACTATTGTCTGTGTCCCTGGGCTACCAGGCCAGGTGTCTGAGTCCCCCATGCTGCCAGGCCCAGCATCACAGGCGCAGATTTCTAGCCCAGAGCCGTTCAGGAAGGGGCTCCTCCCCTGTGCTTGAGTTGAGGAGGACCGACCCTTTCCCCTGGGACACTATGTCTGACCCCGTCCTGCTCTCTGCCAAAAGTTCTTTCAGAGAATAAACAGTCCCTCAGATTCACTGCTGGGTGAACCAGTCAGACCCCTCCACTGGCCCCAGGTCCCACTGCTTGGCCCTTCCACCGACACAGACTGGGGCAAACCTCCCAGCAGCTGTTGTAACAAAGCACTTGCTCTGTGCCTGGGACAGTGTGGGCTGAACTGCCCGCCCAGCTGGACCCAATCACCACTAAGTCCCCTTGCCCAATGCTACATGGGCTGTGGATTGGGGATCTGGACTGAGGATCCCTGCCTGGGGCTGAGCCCCCCCTCCCCTCGCTCCCAGGGAACAGGACTGCACACCTTCCTTCCAGCTCTCCAGCTGCGCAGCTGCATGGTTTCACTTACTCTCTATGCATTTCTCTGTCCCCTCTCTGCACTCCCCGCTCACGATATTTCAGATCAGCTATCTTTCAAATGGTTTTTCGAACGGAATGTTCTTCAGTTTAGCTGCACGTCCAGACCAGTGCGAGGAGCAAGTGGACAAAACTTCCCAAGTCTGAGCCATCCTGGACCCGGCCCCATCACTCATCATTGGGGTTCTCTTTGAGCACCTTTTATGAGCCAGTCCCAGTGCTGGCTATGTGATCACCCAGGCATAAGCTTCCTCAGGCTATTGTTGATAAAATTATGATTGAGTTACATAATTGTTAAGAGAATGGCAATTAATCAACAAGAATCACTATGTGAAAAACTCAATGTTCCTTTGAAAATGGAAATCTGTGTTCCATCAAATTTAATCCCCTCCATTTCCTATAGAAGAGGTGCTATCTGGTTTGTTGTTCTAGAAAGCAATAAAGAAAGTCAACTCCTTTATCCATGAAAGTCAGAAATGTAATAGTTAAAGGAAAATAAGGCTTTTTAAACTGTTGTACCAGAGGAGCATTTTCCAGTAGTAAACAGTTTGGTGAGAAAAAAAAAAAAAAATGTAGGAAGTACAGTCTTATGCTGCAGGGAGCAACCTCAACACAAACGCTTCTCCAGTAAAACAGTTTGGTGAGAAAAAAAAAAAAAATGTAGGAAGTACAGTCTTATGCTGCAGGGAGCAACCTCAACACAAACGCTTCAGAGTGACAGTAAGAGAATGTGACATGATTCAAGCATGGCCAGATAGAGTTTTTAATCTGCAGCCAGTTTTTCATCTCTTTGCCTGTCATTCTTATGTTTCTAGCCAATACTTCTACCTCTTTGCCTCACTTCAACCAAAGGTACTGTTATATGTTGCTTAACTTTAGTGGTGGTTCTCAGGCCAAAAGAGATAACAGGAAGTGTTTATGATAATCTTGCCCAGTTGCGGGGCTTTGAGAAATAGACCTCCACCTCTTGGTTTGGAAGATGGAAAAACTGATACATTCCTGTGCTCACCTACAAATTTAAACATGAATGAAGTACCATGACATTATACTTTGCCATTTCGAAAAGCACTTGCGAAATTACTGCCATTAGATTCAGCTATTTGATACTTACAGGCAAATGGCCCCTCATGAGCTCAAGACGCTTAACCAAAAGAATAAACAGCCCTTACAGTTGGGCAGTAAATATGAAATCCTTTTTACTGATTTAAATTTTGCCTCTGAATTAAGGACCCATGAGAATCAGAGAAAGTTGTTTTCTAAAACCTAGACAAGTGGAATATTTAAGCTCTTAGAATTCATATCACAAAATACTGATACACTTTAAATTACTTTAAGTTATCATTTCTCTGTTTATAACTACAGTGAATCTAGGAATACAGAAGAAAAGAGGAGTATACCTCCTCACCCACTGAAATTGGACTCGACAGTGTAATTTGCTTTGGCCCATGATACGCAGGCAGAAATGGCATATGTCATGTCAGACAGAAGCTTGAGGACTCATGCTTTCTTCTTCCCTCTATCACAGTGACCAGCAACACCCTAGAGAAGCTGTTCTGTCAACACAGAACCTGGAGAGAAGACTTGTACGGCCTGCCTCTCCAACCTCATGCTGTGTGACTCTCCTTGGCTCACAGTGCTGCCACACACTGACCTTCTGTCCATTCCTAGAACAGGCCAAATGCTTTCCATGCTTTGAACTTGAAAACTTTCCTTCCCATTCTCAATGACTAGCAACTTGTTATCCTTGAGATCCCAGCTAACATGTCACTTCCTGGAGATGACTTTTCCAAGTACCTTGTTTCAAAGTAGATCTCCCTCCCCAACTTGTGTTTGCCTTCCTAATGCCATATTAGCTAGTTCAGAACACTCAGAATTTCCATTTGGTAAAATTCTCACTGTCCTTGAGGGTCCTACAA